GACGAAGAAGAACACGAAGCATTCTATATGGAATTGGAGAAGTTCTACAGGGAAGATCATACCTTCTTCAAGGTCATCGTCGGCGACTTCAACGCTAAGATTGGCCCAAGAAGAACGGCTGAAGAACTTCACATCGGTACTCACGGAATGGAATGGAATGAGCAGGGTGAGAAGACTGTCGGAGTTTATCATGTCGACCAACACCATCCATGGTAACTCACAGTTCCAAAAGCCCTCTCACCTTCGTTGGACTTGGGAGTCACCTGATGGACAGTTCCATAACGAGATAGACCACATCATCTTCAATCGAAGGTTTTGCCTGACCGACGTCGCTGTTGTTCCGAAGTTCTACACGGGATCGGACCATCGTCTCCTCCGCGCAAAGTTCCACTTTTCGATGCGTGTTGAGAGAGCCTCAAAGTTCAGGAAGCGAAGCCCCAGGACAGTCATCAACTGGGATCACTTCGCTTCTCCTCGTCAGCTTATGGGAGGATTCCGTCATCGAAAACATCGACGAGGAGTACTATCGGCTCGTTGAACATCTTCACGATTGTGGCAGGAAGGCAGAGAGTTTGAAAGTCACCAAGGGACGTCTGTCTCCGGAAACTCTCGAACTGATACGCCAGTGGAGCCGCACGAGCTGCAGGCAATCACCGACTCACGTCCGAGCTTGCGAAGCTATGCAGAGAGGCGATAAAGGAAGATCTCAAGGAGCGAAGAGCAGCAGTATTAGCTGAAGCAGCAGAGGCTGGGAGGAGCATCCGCAATGCCCGCCGAAGCTTTGCCAGCTACAAGACCAAGATGACCTGCCTCCGACGTCCGGATGGAACAGTTACTGCATCCCGAAGGGCAATGGAGAAAGTCATCCACGACTTCTACTCGGATCTCTTCGATAGCCATGTCCATCTGCCTACTTATCAACTGCAACAGGATGGATACGTCGTCCCCTCAGTTCTCTCTTCCGAAGTCCGACACGCCATCAAGTCGGTGAAGAATCGTACAGCACCCGGTCTCGACAGGGTCAAACCGGAACATCTGAAGAACGCCGCCAGTTATCATCAAAACTCTGGCTCGACTCTTCACGCGCTACCTGTCGGAATGCAAGGTACCCACTCCGTGGAAAACCAGCAGGACCGTGTTGCTGTACAAGAAGGGAGACCTGGACGACATTTTCCCTGCCAATTAATGGCGGAATGTTGCAGATACTTGTGGGAATTATTATTCGGAATAAAGTTCAATTCAAAGAAAAATATGAGCTTTTGAAATCGAGGGTCGAATCCGCCATTACTTTCGTTGCGACCTTGAATATTTGGTCGTATACGGTACCGTTGAGGAAATAGCTCAAAAAATAATCTAGGGCAATGCAACGGGTATGGCCAACTTAGCGGCCAGCCTGTAGAGTTTGCGAATGCTAGCGTCTTGCTGAATGATCTAACATCTCCATACATGCCGTTGCTGTGAAGAAGACACTTGAGAGGTAGGCGAGCACGAAGATTCCCATTCGTGGTAGTAGTACAGCTCTACAGAATGCGAAAAATATCGTCTAATACGCGCCTGCTCTATGAGAGCATGAAGCCACTTGAGCAGTATCAGCCGTATTCATGATATCGAGCCGACTGCCTGTGGCATCAGAAATGCGATACACGCAATCCGCCTTCTGCTTGAAAAACGTGACGAGAAACGAAAAGCGGTGCATTATCCCACAGCTCTCATCTACATTTTCTGTCCTTGCGTCTCATGCTGTCTCGCTGTTTAAAATGTGCACAAACAATGTGATAAATCAAAATATAAATCAAAATATTAACTACGAAAGATCAAAAGCTTCACAGAAATGAAAAAAGATTTGTAAATGCATTAGCATCGTAAAATTTTTCAAAAGACTTTCTTCTATGGTTGAGATTTCTGCACAATTTTCTTTATAAACATTTCGGAATCTTACAAGTTTCTAAACATTTAGATTAGCATTAGTGTCAGGGATTTAAAAATGCTTGAGGCGGTTATTACGATAAAGTGTGTGTGCGGCGTGGAAGTACAAGCACTAGTCAGGAGCTGAAGGAAATGAAGTGTGGCGTTTTGTGGCCACTTTCTGAGCTCTGCCACAGCCTGTGCTCCGCCCCCAGCAGCAGCGCCCTCCGATTATCATTTTGACGAATGTATTCCGCTCTGAGTGCACATTCTGTAACTTTCCCATGGAAGGCGTTGTCGACAAAAGTAGGAGCCTTTGATCGATATCTCTAACGAGGCAAAGAAAGGGGTCCCATTTTGCGCCTTCTTGACGGATTTCTTTGCTTTTTTCGCCACTGGGGCATTATTCAGCATCTCCACTTCCACTATGAACCCAGTCCAATCTTATCGTAATCCCTCGCTTTAAATGGATCAAGTTATCGTAAATCCTGCCTCTAAAGTTCATTTTAGACAACACTTTGGTAAAAGTTTTTTCGCTCGTGACTTAACTACATAAATGCCTAACAAGCATTGAATAAATTCCAGGAGAGTATTCTGCATTCTAGCATATTCGTTTCGCGGTTTAATGCCATACGTGCATTTTATGACCCATGCAGTGATTAATGTGTTGATTATCATCTGCTATGCTTTCTTTACCTACATTATACAAAGAATCGGAGCAGGTTGGTCTCTTTCATACTGATTTGGTACGAAACTTTTTGGTATATGTTTGTTCGGTAGGAGAGTGACTCTTGAGTTATTCCATCTACCAACATGTTTGCGGATTTGGTCAGGATTGCACGCTTCTCAAAATCGGGTCTTGAGGTGCACTAGCTACATATTTTTCACTCACGGCTGCTTCTTTTTTGTTTGAGCCACCAGAAAGAGCGTGTAAGTGTATGTGTGCACCCAATTGAAATAAGAGTCTTCTGACTTCCGCACCATGAGATCACCTCCATTAAATTTCTCGTATGCGAAAACAAAAAAAATTATTAGTT